CAGGCCACGCAGGGCCGGCCCGGAACGCACTGAGGACCCCGGCCGCCTCTTCTCCCGGGCCGGACTCCCCGGGCCCGGGTGCGGGGTGGCTTAGCACAAGTCCCGTGGGGCGCGCAGACCCTCTTTAGTAACCACGCCCCCAGGGAGCTGGGCCCATCCTGGGCAGCCGGAACCGCAGCGCTTCTATTCCCAACTGCAAGTCACTGTCCACCAGCCTGGCCAACTCCACCCCACCAACCCGGGCCCCCACCCCTGAGGCCCCTGAGCTGAGCGCTGTGTCCCCCACGTAAACGGCCCACCTTGCAGGCCGCCCCCTTCCCCTGGGGCTGATCCATCCACGTCCCAATGTGGCGTCCCCAGCACCTATGGCCTGCATCCCCCTCTCCCTGTGACCAAACCTAGGCTGCATCCCCAACATCCCTCCCTGTGACCACCCGACCCCAGGCCTCCCAACCCCTGGAGCCAGAGAGGGTGGTCCTGTGGGTCTCCCTTGGGCCCTGGTGCACACCCAGCTCCCTTCTCTCCACCCACCTGGCAAGTGGGAAGCCTGCTCCAAGCATGTGCAAGTCCCTTTGCCTGTCCCACCTTCTTGCCATCTTTCTCCCTCCTGTTTGTCCTGAGCCTGGCCTCTCCTCTCTCTGCAGAAAGTTATACCTGACCCCAGGGGTGAAGGAGGGCCCTACTTGGGCCCTCAGTGCCCCCCCCCCCGCCTTATCCCTAGGTGGGGGCATGAGCATCATCCTTCCAGAGGTCTGGCCACATCCTGGACCAGATGCTCCTGGAGGACAGAGCCCCCTCCCCGGCCTCCCCCAGCCCAGTGACCCAGGTCTGAGAGGGAGTGGGGTAACAGGATCCCCAGGGCCCCCCGCCTTTCCCTCTGTGCCCTGCTGGCCACCATGAATCAGCAGCTTAGAGCCGGCCAGAGCAGCTTTACACCTGGGCTGCAGGCTAGTCTTCCGCAGCACCCAGGAGTTGGAGACTAGCCAGAGAGAGCGGCCTGGGGCCACTGGAGCCACCACCACCTGTGCCCCTCATGCCCTGGGCTGCCTCCTCCAGGAAGCCCCTAGCTGGCCCACTTACTCCCTGAGGTGGGGCCCAGGGGTCTGGCAGGTTTCCCCGTGTGGGGCATGTTCCAGCTCTGTTCCCATCCCCAGCACACACACACCCCAACCGCAGGACTTGGCCCAACCTGGTCTGCAGGGTTCCCTAGGACCTGAGGCCCAGTAGCCACACTGACCAGGCCCCTGGTGTTCCGACTCCCAGATGGTCTCCACCCCCAAGGCCCAGGGGAACAGCACAAATGCCCCCGTCCTGGGGACGTTTTGCCTGATCCCTGTTGAGGCTGGTGCCCTTCCTCACCTGAGCTGCAGTGAACAGTAGGCTAGTAGCTCGGTGTATGTCCCGAGGGCTGAGGCGGCCCTCTTGCCCCTTAAGCAGGAAGGAAAGGAAAGTTTTCCCACTTTACCCAGCTCCAGGGAAGGATAAGCCTTTGCTCCCAGAGATTGTCCCGCAGCAGCTTCCCTGACCGCTGAGAGAAGGGGCAGATCTGCAACCAGACCGGAAGCTGAGCTTGCCCAGTGAGCTCCTCAGCAGGGCAGCTGGGGTTGATTTGTGCATGGCCATCAAGCTCTGTCCCGGGTCAGAGCCCATTAGCCTGGGTGCAGAACTCACGCCACCCCACCCCCAGTGGCCCTGGGCTCTCCGGGAGCAGGGAGGGTGCTGGGCTGAATACGGCTGCTTGTCTGACTGGAGACCCAAGGGATCTGGGCAGTGCAGGGTCTGGGGGGGCCAGAGCAGCTGGGGGTGTGACGCACAGATCCAGCCACCCTCTCCCCAAGCAGCGGGGACAGCCAGGCAGCGGGGCCTCGGGACTCGGGACACAAGCTGAGTGAGAGAGAACCCCCTTTATTGTGAAACCCTCGTGCAGGCACTTGACGTTGAGACCTCTGCAAGGTGGGAGGTCACCACCTGACACACGGGACACCACCCCCTCACAGAGAAGCCCCTCAATGGGGGACCCACACCCCCAACACATCTTGGGCGGGGTCACGTCCCAGAGGTTACTAGATCAGCTCCGTTCTGGAAGAAGAGAAGATGCGAGCTGACCCATAGGCCAGAACAGCCCAGCGCTCAGCTGCAGGGCCGGAGGGTGGGCAGAGGTAGAGCGGGCAGAGGCTTCTTCATCAGCTCCAGGCCAAGGTCAGGGTCTGAGTCCAAGGGTACACCGGTGGGCGCCACTCCTTCCCCGAATCAAGGCTGGAGCCCCCGTGCCCACCAGCTCTTCCTGCCTGCCACAGCCCCCACACTCAAGGAGAAAGCCCCTGGCTTCTGTCCCCGGGTTGCCCCTTGCCCACCTGAGTCCTTCGCACACTGCAGCCAGGATCTCAGTGGCAGCACCCCACCCCCCACACCGGGAACTGAGGGAAAGGAAGTACGACCCCTCGCTTCAGGCTTCTTGCTGGTCACGGCACCCACAGGGTCACACGTGCCTCGACACGTCAGTGCCAGGGGAGCACGTTAGTACACGTGAGCCCCCCACAGCCCAGGTGAACACGTGGCCCCGGGATGGTCTGCTCCTGTGATTCCTGGCGGCAGTCTCAGCTCTCAGACCTTCGGGTCTCAGCATTTCCCAGGGTAGCCCCCACTCCCAGGTCGAGAAGCTCTGACAAGCAAGACCCTCCCTTCAGTCTCCAGAGACCCCTGCCCCAGGGCACCACGCCCTCCAGAGACAGCCCTCTGGGACTGAGAAGATCTGGAGACAGACACACTCCCCAGGGGAACCCCTGTGGCATCCAGGGGAGGTCCTAAGGGAGACCTAGATTGTTGGAAGGAGGCAGGAGGACCAAGGAAGTCCGGGATGCTCCGTCTAGACTCCCACACCCGCGGCTTGCACACATGCACACCATCGTGCATGCACATGCGTACAGACTGCCCACGAGGAGCCGCGTGCAGGCGGGGGACCCCAGGCTAGGGTCAGGGCGCTGGCCACAGTGGTGTTGGGAGGCACCCCTCGTGGGAATGCGGCAGGCTGAGGAAGTGGGCCGGCACACTCCGGCCCATCCGCCGGTCCCTGTGGCTGGCGGGCACATGCCCCTCACTGCTCAATCTGCAGGCTGCCGGGAGACTGCGGTGGTTCTGCAGGCTTGAAGCTGAGGACCTCCTGGTAGGTGAGCTCTGGGAAGTGAAGGGAGAGGGTGACATCATGCTGTCACTGGGCCACCGCCCCTGCCTCCCTGTCCGGTGCCAGCTGCCCAGCCCAGGCCTACCACCCTGAGGGCAGCCTCAGCCCCTGGGGCTTCCTTCCGGAGCCTGCCCTGTGCCGCCCATGAGCCTCTGCCGGACACACCCAGCCCCAGGAGTGCGGGGAGTTCGGGGACCACTCTGGGCAGGAACTGGACACTTCCGGCAGGAAACAGGCAGCTCCTAGCCTGCGGGGGAATGAAGCCCTCAGGCCCCTGGGCTCCACCGCTCCCACCCCCCTGGCCCTCCTCAAGCCCACCCTTCCACTCCTCCACTGTGCGTTCCTTGGCCTCAACGCTCTCATCATAGGGCTCAGCCTCAGGCTCATCGTCCGGGTCATGGTACTGGCTGAAGTAGGCATGGGCCAGGGCCTCGGCCGCACTGACCCTCTGGTCACTGTCGAGCACCAGCATCCTTCCCAGCAGGTCCACAGCTACGGAGTGGTCAGTGGAAAGGTGGTGGTCAGTCGTGCATCTAGGGCCAGACATGGAGCCCAGCCCAGACCCAGGGCCCATCCTCACCCAGGGGGTTGGCTCCATGGAAGATGCTCCTGAGGTCCTTCTGGGGCATGGGGGGCAGGGACTGGATGTATGTCCGGGCCTGGGGGCACACAGGAAGGGCCTGAGGGGGTGGCTCACACCCTACCTCCCCTGGCCCAAAGCCAGGCAGGGACTTCCTGAGAGAAGCCCCCAGACCCATTCACTGCAACAGGACTGGACAAGAGCATGCATAGAGGGGCGCCTGGGTGGCTCAGTCGTTAGGCGTCTGCCTTCGGCTCAGGTCATGGTTCCAGGGTCCTGGGATCGAGCCCCG